AGAGAAAAGGAATTAACGTGCAGAAAGCCAAAGTATAGCAGAAAAAATTCAATTAACGTGCTAGAAAATATTCAATTAACGTGCAGAAAAAACTCAATTAAAAGGAATTTAAGAACTCAATTAAGCCAAAGCCAAAGTATTCAACTTGGGCTAGAAAGCCACTGGGGGATTAAAGTGTAGTATAGCAGAAAATAAACTCGAATTTGGATTTAACTTGATGGTTCCCTCATCCATAAATTAAAAGCAATGAATTGAACTTTGTGAAGCTCGTAACTAGGGTTAATGAAAATTGGGTCATCTCGAAGTAAAGTCAAACCGGAGGAGAGGGTGTGGGGGAACTTACCTCGTCGGGAGAGATGTCAGGACAAAGCCGTCGCCGGTCGCCGAGGAGATTGCAGAGAACGTCGTGTGGATTCGGCGGAGGAGAACAGAGACAGAGACGATGGGCGAGAAGCAGTGACGGAGTAAAAGAAGGGGGCTCCGTTAATTTTAGGTGAGTTAAAGCTAAAAAAAGTGATATTAAATCTGATCCCTTCATTTAAAAAGTTATTAGAATCAAGGGCTGAGATTGAAAAGGTCATCCCATGACATTTAAAGTACATGTCAGGTGAACCCAGCCGATTTCAGACATGTTACATAATATAATCAAACCTATTTTTTCTTTCATGATTGACATTTTATTTTCATTGTAACTCATATTTTTGTAAAAAAGACATAAAACTCTTATTTTTGTGCATTTTTTAAAATTTTACTCATACTTTAGTCTTTTTTCTCTAAGCTATTTTGACTTTCAAACTTTTTTATAAAAATTTGATCATGTAGATTAATATACAAAAATTGTATTATTCATATTAAAAAGTAAAAAAGATAATAATGAGTGTGAGTTATAAAAATAGTGAGATGAAAAAATAAAATAATTTATAAATTATAATTATGAACATAATAGTTGTAATAATGATAATGATAATAATAATAATAATAATAATAATAATAATCACATTAAAAATATATCATTTTTAGAGTAATTAGTTGGGGAATAGAAAGAGTTTGAAGAAAAATAAGAATAGTTGGAAAAAACAAAAAGAAACTGGAAAAAAAATTGTTAAGTCACCCTTACAAAAAACATTATTCTGAAAATGGTCCCTAAACATAATTTATACTTCTACTCCCTCTATTTCATAAAACAATTCTTATTTTGACTTTAAAAAGAAATAAGAAATTTATATTTGTGGTTGATTTTCAAATTTTACCCTTAATGTGATGAGTAAAAGTGAGATGTAATGGATAAGTTATTAGTGAAAAAAATATGATATTATAAATAGAGTAAGAAAATATAGGGATAAAAATGCTTTTTTAATTGGAAGTGTTCTAGAGAAGTGTCTTAAGAAACAAAGGGAATAATTTTTTAAGAGATACTCGGTAACACATTTATTTCATACTCAATGTATTAATCTTGCATTTTCAATTACCTCAAAAACAACTCTAATATCTTAGATCATCTTTTCATTGAATTACATCCCCATTACTCCGTACTATTTAGGACATGAGAATTGTAATGGAGGTAGTAGAAATTCAAGACTAGGATTCTCAACAAATTAGAAGTACAAATTATACTTAAGGACCATTTTAAATATAGAAAACTTTGTAACTATAACTTAACAAAAAATATATTTCATAAGAACTAAAAAGAAAAATCACCTATTTTACAAGAACTAAAAACATATTTAATCCTTCATAGTGTTAACCCCAATTTGTACATGAGCACAAAATATCGGCAAAACTATTTGTTTCAGCTTTTTGTATCTGTGTAAAGACAGAGATTCAGCCACATTGTTTGTTTTAGCTTTGGCACTTTTAACATCAATCAAATACACTAAACGCCGAATGAAAACAATGTTCCCAAACAAGGTCATATAACCAATTACTCCATACCATACATAATAATCCAAAGATATTAAATCGCTTTGTTTGTAACTTACAAAGAAACACCAACACCTACTACACATTCCCAATATGAGAAAAACAAAAAATAGAATTACAAACGAACCAAGGCAAATAAAAGAATGCCTGAACTAATGAGAAATGAAAGGAAAAAAATACGTAGTAGTATATAAGCAAAACCCCAAGGAAAAAAAGCATTAGGGAATCGGTATAATTACACATTCTGGAAAGTCGGCAGGAGTTCACATAGCAGGTCTATCAGAAGGGCCTACGAGGACAACCTGCATAATCGAGGATTATATGTCACTCGATAGTAATTCGTAATTTTCTTTCGGGTGTGTGTTGGAAGAAAGTATAATATGCCTCCAACCCATACATTTGAGCTTGCAAAGTTGTCATACAAACTTTTTGAATTTTAATAGGTGGAACTAAATTCACTCAAATGGCTAATGTCGCTCTCGTCACCCAAATTTGCTAAACCCACTGTCTAAATGACTAATATCAAATTTATATGAGCCTAGATGGATTTAGCAAATGTGGGTGAAGGTGTGGCATAGAGGCATTTAGAGTGTGGACTTAGTCCCACCCATAGTAAATTAAAAAAAAAAACTTGAAAATCAGAAAATGTCAACATCTAAAGTTATCTAAATGCAATGTTCAAATTATTAAGATTAGAACTTGGAAATATGTCCCCCAATAATCCAAAACAAAAATGTTGACAGGAAGCCTGGGATTTCCTTGGATTTCCAAAGAAATCCCCATTAAAAAAAAGGCTTCGCTAATATTACTCTACATTCTGATTGACAAAGGCAGGAGAAAGACTTACATTACAATCATAAGCAAACCGTCTGGCAAGCATGATAGCAGCATTTCGTTCACGCTCAGTTTCAAAAACTAGCACAAAGGAAACCCCAGGCTTTGCTTGCCAAAATGCTGCCTGAGCAGCAGCATTCCCACCACCTCTAACTCCACAAAGCTGACAAAAGATAAAACTTGCATTATTATAGAATACTCCCACCATCCCAGATTAAACCTCTCATTTACTTTGTCACAAAATTTAAAGAAAAATGGAATTGTGTGATTTAGATATACGCACAAGAGAAAAATGATGTGAACTATTAATTACTTTCCTAAACAAATGAGAAACCCCATTTATGGCAAATGTCTAATTTTACCCATAAGTTAGTCCATATGCTGCCTTTCCTTGTTATTACACTTTTCGGATAAATTTGTCCATTTTCGACAAAAGATGTGGCAAGGTCTGCGTACAAACACCCTTCTCACTTCTCAGATCCTACTTTCTTGGGATCCAACCGAGTTGTTGTTATGTTTGACAAAAGATGTGGATTTAGCAAAAAGAGGAGTGGATTTAGCAACACCCTAAGGGTCCGTTTGGTATATGGAATTGACGGAATTGGAATTGAAATTCCATGGGATTCAATTCCATAGAATTGAATTTTGCCAATTCCAATTCATTTTTTGTACTATCAATTCCGAATCCACATGATTTTTGTGCTACCAAACACCAGAATTGGAATTGAAGTCCTCAATTCCAATTCCACAATTTGAATTCCGTGTACCAAATGGGGCCAAAAGAAATTTATGGGGTATTGCAGTACTTGACAACCATATATTGTCTACCCAGCTACTCCCTTCATCCCAAAATAAGATTCCACATTGAAATTGGCATGATTATTAGGAATCGTGAAATTGTCTCATTGAAACTTATGCATATGAGAGAAATAATGTGAACCACACAACTCTCTCTTCGAAAGGAAAGCGAGGGAAAAAGACTAAAGTAGGAGTAAAACATTGAAAATATACCAAAATAAAAGTTTCATGTTTTTATTCTCGAAATAGAAGTTAAAATGCATTTACATTACCAATCATGACCATGTACATTACCAAAAAGTATAGTAAAATGCACATGTACACTGCCACATTACCACAGTGCAAACTCCTATTTAGGGGATAAAAATACAAAACTTCTATTTTGGTACTTTCTCTATGTTTTACTCCTATTTAGGGTGATTTCTTAAACTTATTTTGAGATAGACCAAAACAAAATGTGGAATAGGAACTAGGAACTGAGCCTTTAGTTCAAAAGAGGGGAGGGTGGATAATGTGACATGGAAAGGGAGGGGGAATCCACAAAAAAAAGTGAACTTTTAGTTCAATGGAGAGGAAATTGAGAGAATTTTGGGAGGCGTTAATTACTTCAGAGAAAAATATAAAAAATAATGCATCTGAATTATTGTCCAAACTTAGAATTATACTCTATGTTCGTAAATTACCTTTCACATTCTCTTTTTCCATCCGTCCCAAATTTATCACGCAATTATTTTTAAGGAAAGATTCATATTATTAAACTCTTCTAAATAAAATTCAACCGCGTGGTTATCATTTACTTAAATTTTGTGCCCTCGTAAAATTGAGGAGTGATAAAGGGACAGGGGGTGTAATAATCTTAAGCAATAATAATGAAGAACACTAATAAAAATGGTGAAAAAGAAACAAAGAGAGGAAATAGCTACACCAAAACATCCATAACTTGAGTGAGAATTAAGGTGTCTGGAAGGGCCTGTGCACATTCACTCCTCCCACTCAACACTCGCTCTCCCAAAACACTCC